ATTTTTTGCAGTGCTAGGATTATAGGCATGAGCCACTGCACCCGGCCTTATTCTGGTGTTATTTCTGTTAGTTTTGAATTGTTGTCATTATTATTCCCAGTATTAAGAGTATAGATGATTTTCCAGGAATGTGAGTCCCTGTTTTGGTTCTGTCTGTGATCCAGTTTTGGTCACTAGAGGGCTGTAAAGATCTGTCAGTGCTCAAGAATTGTAGGCACTACACATCAAATTTGTGATACAAAAATTAGATTCTTTTTTGTTTTTTTTTAGAACAAGTTCTCATTGTATTGCCCAGGCAGGTCTTGAACTCCTAGGCTCAAGCTATCCTCCCACCTTTGTCTCCCTAAGTGCTGGGATTACAAGTGTGAGCTACTATGCCTGGCAGATTTTGGGTTTTAAGGAAAGGATCCTGCTATTGTAGAGAGGGGAACAGCTTCCTCTCTTACTTGGACATGTTATATGGGTTCTCACTATTCAAAGTCTGGTTTCCAGAGCCACAACAATGGCATCACCTGGGAGCTGATTAGAAATGCAGTTTGAAAAGCACTGGTACTCTATAGAGAGCATAGCAAAATAGAAACAGTAAAGAAAGGTACATGCCATTATTAGAGAAAGGATTTGCAAACGAAAGGTAAAAATGATATAAAAGATTCACTTAGCTGCTAGCAGCGTCTCAAGACTATGAGTGCAATTTAAGAAGGGCAACACATAATGTTCAGAACATGGTTAAAACACATCTTTCCATTCTCATGGACCTCACACCTTAATGTAGCCAGATCATGCTGTGGGGGCCACCAGTTGGCCACTGTTGTCGCTTAGTGGGCAGGAAGGACTCACCAGTCCATGATATATGAAACTGCTATGCCCAAATAAAGTCCTCTCAGATATTTTTTGGAACCCTGGGATAATGTCTGGGGGCACGGAGAGTAGATGAGGATTTTTCTTAGCTTTAACGTGATATAGACACTAGAGTGTCGTCAGGGGACCACTTGAAGGGGTTTGGATAATTTTGTGCTATGAAAACATCCTGAGAGACTTTGTAGCACAGTACTTAAGCATGTGGAGACTATTAGGTTTAAATTCTGCTTCTGCTACTTACTAGCTGACCTTGGGTGAATTAATTCTCTATGTCTCAATCCTTTTATCTATAATATGGGGGTGGTACTAGCACCTACCTCAGGGTTATTGTGAAGATTGCATGAATTTGTACATTTAAGTGCTTAGAACAGAAGTGACAAATAGCCCTCAATAAATGGAAACAAAGAAGACATATGTGGGACAATATGCAATATAGTCCCTGGCTCATAGTAAGTATATAGGTGCCAATTAAGTGTTTGTGGAATGTGCCACTTTATTTTAATTTTCCCTCTGTTTCAAACTCACCCTTAATTGCCTGTTCTATGAAATTGAGGTGGGCCCTTAAATATTTTTCCTTGGCTAGCTGGCACGTTGTTAAACTTTATCTGTAGAAGATATTGAAGAGATATTGCAGGAAAATGGGGTTTTCCTTCCTGGCTCCAGTGTTCTCTCAGCAGGTTCCTGTAGACCCAGCTCCTGCAGTGCTTTGACTTCTCCAACACCAGGCTCCTGCAAGGCATGACAACTAGCGGCACCCCTGCAGGCAGGTTTGTAGCCCAGTGCTTCCAGTGAGATGCTTCCCTGTGAAGTATTTTCCCCTGCAAACTAGAAGGCAGATATCCAGCATGTTCTGCCAGTACAGACTAGGTGACTTTTCTGCCTTTTGGTGAGCCATGGCTGGATCTCAGCTTGACAGGGTAGGGGTGCAGGAATGCTTCCTTGAGTGATCGGTTTTAGCCCTTGGAATATCTGCTACTCCTACATTCCTTAAAATTCTCTTTCTTTCTAGCCTATCTCTTGTTATAGTTAATAATTTGTTCATATTAAACTTTCAAATTATCTGGTTTCTGTCTCCTAATAGGACCCTGATTGATATTAATAATAAATGAATAAAGAAACATTAGCATTCCCAATTGTTCTGGAAAGTTTAAATGTTTTGTATAAGATGAATGATGCAGATTTTCAGAAATAACTTTTTGTGTTGAATAGTTATACTGTTATCTATGATTAAGTGAAAAAATATATATTAAGATAATATGTAGATTGTGGTCCTGTTTCTGTTTTAAAAAATTGGTGTGGGTTCATATTTCCAAATGCTTAGAGGAAAGTCTGGAAGGATATGCAGAACCCTCTGGAGAGGGGAGAAGGGTTACAGGAATGATAAAGAGGGACGTTCTTTTTTAATTCTCTATACTTTTATATTTAAAAATATATACTAAATATTTGTAACTTTCATAATGTTAAGATAAATTCTTTAATTTTTGTGACTTTTCGGTAATTTTTTTTTTTGGTAAATTTTTACTTTTTTTTTTTGTTGTTGTTTGAGATGAGGGTCTCACCAAGGCTGGAGCACAGTAGTGCGATCATGGCTCACTGTAGCCTCAAATTCCCAGGCTCAAGCAATCTTTCTGCCTCAGCCTCCCAAAGTGCTGGGATTACAGGAGGGGAGGCCAAGGCAGGAGAATTGCTTGAGGCCAAGAATTTGAGACCAGTCTGGGCAACATAGTGAGACCCTATCTCTACAGAAAAATTTTTTTTTGATTAGCCAGGTGTGGTGTCATGCACCTGTAGTCTCACCTACACCTGCAGAGAAACTGAAGGAAGGCAGATTACTGGGCAGATTATGTCAGACCCCTTAAGGACCATTCGTGGTGAAATGGAGAGTCCTCATTGTGCAGAACAACATTGAGTAACAAATGTATGTTCGTGGTAACCTTCCCTAGCCAGCGTCTTATGATTAAAACAAAAGATAAAAGTTTTAGGATGCAAACAGCACATCTGTAGCAATTATTGGCGTGATTCAGTAACCATCGTACTCTGAGAAAGGTTGTCAGTGGGAAGACAATTTGGGACTCACTGAAGCAAAACCTCCTAACTTGAATCTGTTGGGCACAAGTGAGCCTTAATCTTGATGTACAATAAAAACAGCCAGGCCCACAAAGCCCTAGATTGTGGGTTTAAATAATCTGGTTCAGGTCCACTGAAACAGGATAATAGACATGTTTATGGATTCAGTATTGAGTTTTGGGAGCCAGCAGCCACGTCAGCAGATGTGGAGTGTGCCCTACCTTTGGGCAGAATCCAAGGTTTTCAATTATGGGTAAGGTCACCTGCTTTCTGATTTATGCAAAACACTTTGGAAATGCCAGCTATTTAGCCATCACATTAAGATAGCCATTTAAGACACCATTAAGATAAAGGAACAGCTTTCTGCCTGAAGAAAACAAAATATAATTCCTAAAGTTCCAAGCTGGCACAGGCCGTTTCCCTATTTCCGTTGCCAAGGCCATGTGTCCTCTGCACCGTTGCATGTTTTCTTCCTTCCTGCCTCCCTACTTGGTCTCCCACCCCTCCCTGGAGCCAGAATCACTTAAGTGCCTCCCACAGGGCACCTGGCTTACATGGACACTTGAGTGGAAGTTTGCTAAGAATAGCTGTGACGTTACCCCTCTGTTCCACAACTGTTCTTAGGCCTACTTGTGTATTTTTACCCAGTATCACTTATTTTTAAATGGTAGAAAGTTGGAGTTTCTCAGGCAATGTGATTTTTCTGTGGCCCAAACTGCCTTAGGTAAAGCACTGAGACTAAGCCAACAGGCTATTGCTGGGTCTCGCAGCTCCCTTTCCTTGTTATTGCCGGCAGCCGTATGTTTTCACACCTCTGCATTTTGCCGTCCCACCGTACCTCCTCTACCAAGACTTGATCTCATGTGAAGTTGAGTCCTGGGTATGGCAGAGCCTTCCTCATTACCCTCTGCCTTCCCCACCTGCTGTTCCCTCCCTCCTTTCCTGTAGGAGAGCTGCTGCTCTAGGGACATGTGGGAATAGGTCAGGAAGCTGCAAGGGAGGCACACAGTTCAAAGTTTTATGTAAACAATTTGAGTTGGTGGAATTACCAAAAGTAGGAGTAAAGCCTTAGGTAGACCTTTGAGAAATAGTGAAAATGAATTCTAAAATCACAATGGTGAATTTTTCTGAGAAATGTTACAGAAACATAACATGGCAAACTTTTGTCTTTATCTTGATAAGATAGATTAGTAGAAATTGAGAAGAGATGGTCCAGGTTTTTTCTGCTCCTTATTTATATAAGCCCAGTACATTAATGGACTATATTGGAGTCCCTAAGCAAATGCCTGCAGGGACCAGGCAGTTAATACAGCAAACTTCAGACGCTCATTTGCTTTAGCCAGTTCTTGCCACAGTGTGGTGGAATCCTTGTTGTCAGATCTGATTTTTCAAGAGAAGCTTTAAAATCCAGTTTGTATGTGTGTATGTATAAGTATGTACATGAGAAAGCTTTCAGTTTTAAAATATTGGCTCAAATTTTTAAAAAGCAGACCAAAGAAGACTTATATTCCACCTCTGCTCTTGACTTAGAGAATCTGTTCAGGGTAAAGCTTAAAGAAAAGATGACAATGGAAAAGAGTCATTGGTCAAGTATTAAGTACTGATACTTTGGGTTTCCTAAATGAAGCAAGTGCTACTTTAGAAGAGATTCCCTCTAGTTCAAATGTAGTTACAAGCTCCATATACATGCTAGCAACTCACAATTTAAATTCTCTTTTACACAATTTATATGGGTCAGTCTCCCTCATCTTGCTTTTCTTCTTTCTTTTTCCTTCTTCTCTTTCCTTTCTTCCTTTCCTTTCCCCAACCCTGTCCTCTCCTCTTTTGTTTTTAAGAGATGGGGTTTCACTATGTTGCCCAGGCTGGAAAGCAGTGGCAATTCACAGTGCAGTCATAGCTCATGGTAATCCTGAATTCCTGGCCTGAAGATATCCTCCTGCCTTAGCCTCCTGAGTAGCTGGGAATACAGGCATGCACCACTGTGCTCAGCTCTGCTCCCCTTTGTAAAGATCAGACTGAAGTTTCAGTTTTCTGTATCCATGGGGCGGATTTTGCTCAGGAAATTTACAACTTACCTAACTTGAAGGCAGCTGGTCAAGTCTGTCTTTCCCTCCAGGAATATGCACACTTGTGTTGAGACAGTTTAGCAGGCTGGGGTGAGGAGGAAGACAGACGAATAGCAAGGGCTTTACTCCAGCTTCTAGCTGGGGATTTTCTAAGATACTGTTGTCAGAAAAGGAAACACAGTTTGAAGTTGCACCTATATGGAGGGACCTCATCCTACAGGTGGCAAAAAGTTCTGCTATGCCTATTAAAATGAGGTACCTTCCTGAAACGTCTTGGAGATCTAGAATTTAAACCTATGTTATTCTCTTATTGAGAATCAGAAATCAATTGGAAATTCCTGCCTGAAGAGATAGATATTCCTGCCCCACCTCAAGCCTTCCAACACAGATTTGGGAGATATCCCCCTTCCAGTAGAGGCCTAAGTGGCCAGTGCCCCCACTCACCTTCTGAGGCATGTAGGGCCACACAGACAGCCAAGGCCACGACGGTGAGTCCTGTCTGCTGCATTCCCCTGTCCTACTGGCACTGACAGCAACACAAGTGAGGCTGTTCGATCAGGAAATGAGGCTAAAAGTGTACTTGGGCACAGAGAAAGTGTAGAGGAAAAGTAACCAGGTGGCCCCACCCTGGGAGGTGTTCAGGGTATCTATTTCTCATGTTTCTTTCCTTAAGACCAGGCTCCTCCCCAACTTACCAAGCTCCTGAATTCACCCTGCCTGGCAATCAGGGAATGTTAGTGGAGATCTGGCAGCTGGCAAGGTCACTGTGAGTTGGGGTGTGCATCAGAATAATTTGGGAAACATTAAAAAAAAAATCAATCTACGTGACTTTCCTTTTTCCCTGATCTGTAAACCAGAACTCTGGGGTAGGAGACCAGTCATTTGAATTTTGTAAAAGCTCCATAGGTGATTCTGATGGACACTTCTGTTGAGACCCACTGTATAATCAGTTTTTAAGTAGCTTATGGAAACCATAAGTTTCTAGGGACAAGGGTGACAAGTCATAAAAAATTATCTTTGTGGAAAGATATGGAATATTAAACCCCACTCTGGTCTTGGTTCACAGCCAAATTGTTTCCAGTGAAGCTTTTTTTTTTTTTCCTCTTGTTGCCCAGGCTGGAGTTCAATAGCACAATCTTGGCTCATGCAACTTCCACCTCCTGGGTTCAAACAATTCTCCTGCCTCAGTCTCCCAAGTAGCTGAGATTACAGGCATGTGCCACCACGCCCGGCTAATTTTGTATTTTTAGTTGAGACGGGGTTTCTCCATGTTGCTGGTCTTGAACTCCTGACCTCAGATGATCTGCCTGCCTTGGCATCCCAAAGTGCTGGGATTACAGGTGTGAGCCACCGCATCCAGCCAGTGAAGCTTTTTTTAGTAGCTTATTTAGGAGAAAGATAAGACAGGAAGAAGGGCAATGCCTTGTAGAAAAGAGCCCAAGAGCAGGCGTGAAGAGGCATAAGTGCTAGTCCAGCTTTGCTGCCAGTCAACTTTGTGAATAAAACCATGGGGTAGTGTGAAGACAATTGGATTCTAATTGCTCCTCATCTATTAATAAGTTGTATAACCTCAGGTGATGTACTCAGTTTTTCTATCAATAACAAGTCAGACTAGATGATCTCCAAAGTCATGCCATGCTTCCTCTAGAACTGTGTTGTCTTATGCAGTAGCCGCTAGTCCACATGTGGCTCTTGAGCACCTGAAATGTGACTAGTCTAAACTCAGATGTACTATAGGTTTAAAATTCACAGTGGATTTCAAAGACTAAATACAGAAAAATGTATAAAATATCTTGTTAATAATGTTTATATTGATTATTGATTACATGATAATATTTTGGACATTTGGGGTTAAATAAATTATTGAAATTAATTTCACCTGTTTCTTTTTATATTTTAAATTTACTGCTGTGGTTTGAATATGTTTTTCTCTTCCAAAGCTCATGTTGAAAATTAATCCCTAATAGTGCTGGGAGATAGGACCTAATGGGCAATGTTTAGGTCATGAGGGCTCCACCCTCATGAATAGATGAATGCTACTATAAAAAGGGCTTATGGGAATGGGTTGGTTCCTTCGGCTCTTCTGCCAGGTGAGTACACAATGCTTCTTCTCTCCAAAAGATGCAGCAACGAGGCATCATCTTGGAATTAGAGACTGAAATCACTGGTGCCTCGATCTTGGACTTCCCAGCCTCCATAATTTTAAGAGAATAAATTTCTGTTCTTTACAAACTGCTCAGTCTCAGGTTGTGTTGTTATGACATATATGTTGGCTTTCATCCATGGTTCCTGGCTTTTAACTCCCATAACCCTTGTTACAGTCTTTTGTTATATAATAATGTTGGGGCACTTTAGGACTCAGGAAACAGAATCTCTCTCTGACCTTCTCCTGTTTTTCTTTCACCTGCCTAAGGCAGGACTCTAATCTGATTTTGGGCATAAGATCCTCATTCCAGAGAGTTCTGTCCCAAACTCTAGAGGAAGGAATGCTACACAGACCAAGAAAAGCCTGAACAGGCAGGCCTTGCTGGGTTTAAATTATGTGGTTTTTGTCTAATCACATTTATACTTGGTTGTTAATCATGCCAATGTAATGAAGCCTCCATAAAACCCCAAAAGGACCGAGCTGAACATGTGAAGGTTTCTAGAGGGTAGCATGCCCAGGGAGGGTATGGAAGCTCTGCATCTCTTCCACCATACCTTGGCCTCAAGTGATCCTCCTGCCTTGGTCTCCCAAAGTGCTGGCATTACAGGCATGAGCCACCATGTCTGGCCTTTATCTGTATCTTTTGTACTATCCCTTATAGTAAACCATTAAATGTAAGTGTTTCCCTGAGTTCTGTGAGCCTCTCCAGCCAATTAGTTAAACCCATAGAGGGTCTGTGGGAACCCCAGCTTGGAGCCAGTTGGTCAGAAGTTCCGGAGGTCTGGACTTGCGACTGGTGGGAAGTAAGGGGTGGTCTCATGGGACTGAGCCCTCAACCTGTGGGGTCTGACACTGTCTTTTGGTAGATAGTGTCAGAACTGAATTGAAGGACACCTAGCTGGTGTCCACTGCTTGGTGTATGGGGAAACCCCCTACATATTTGGTCATAGAAGTCTTCTGTGTTGATGACTTTTGTGGTGTGAGAGCAGAGAAAATACAGTTTGAGAGTTTTTTCCTCAAACAGATATTCTGTTATAGCAGCATAAAACAGACTAAGACAATTATATATGTAATTTAAACTCAGAATATTTCAAATTACATGGGAAGATCACATATTTGCATTGGGTTTTGGGGCTTTAGAAGATCAAGAGCAGGTGTCCAAATTGACCCCAGTTATCAAGTTATATTTAACCAAGCTCCAATTCACTATCAAGAACCAGAGTTACCATAAGGAATAGGAGCTTTGGAGAGCAAGACTAGCAACGATAGTGATCTCTTGAATGAGAAGACCCACAGCGGCATTCCAGCCTTTCCACTATGCAAAGGGACCTTGCCACAAGTCTTGGTAAAAGAGGACAGAGAACTAACCTGTGGAGGTGACAAAGACCTGTGAAATTACATATGCCAGCCATAACTACAGCAGCCCCTCTGGACCAAGGCTGTGTGCTCTGAAGATAAGTCAGGAGGCTGGGTGTGGTGGCTCACACCTGTAACCCCAGCACTATGGGAGGCCAAGGCTGAAGGATTGCTTGAGCCCAGGAGATCGAGACCAGCTTGAGCAACATAGGGACACTTCATCTATACTAATTTTTTTTTTTAATAAGCCAGGCAGTGGTATGCGCCTGTAGTCCCAACACTTTAATTTTTTCTCTCCAACGCTTTGCACCTCTTCCCAACATCTTGTAATGATGGCCTATCACATGCATTACAATGGCTCTGGAGAGCACATGACAGGGCTTTTTCATCTTCAGGAAGACATTGTTAGATATGCTTTTCTCCAAGTCAGGATTTAAGGACTTTTTTTGGACAGAGATTTCAAAGCCCTCAGTGCACCTTCTGTAAATAGGAAAAGGTATCCCTCCCTGGATGGACAAAGCCTCCAGACCCACAGCTTCACAAGCAGAAGGTGCTTGCAGAAACAAGGCCCCTTTCCTTATTAAAAAAAAAAAAGTGGGAGGAAGGGAGTGGATACCTCTTCGAGCAGTTGCAACTGGGACGTGTGAGTTGGCAAGCAAAGCCCATCCTGCATATGCCCCCACTCCTCCTTCCTCAGCAGGTAGCCTTCTGCAAACTGCACAACCATCTGCAGCCCTGTCCTTTTTGTTTTTTCTCGAGACTATGATCTTGTTGCCCTTGCCACAGCCTTTCATCTAGAACACGCTTCCTCATTCTTTGAGCCACAGCTCTAGTGACACTGTGCGTCTTTCTGCTGCCCATCCATGTTTTCCCATGACCGGGTGGGTGACCTTCTGCTCTCACCAACCTTCGAGGCTGGGTCTTGAGAGCAGGAAACCGCTCCAGTTAGCTTTCCCTCTTCCAGTGCGCCTCAGGGCACAGAAGGTGCTGCATTCCCATTACTGAAAAGAAAGCCTGTTGAATCACTGTGACTGTATTACACCTTAGGTTTAGAAACTTCTGTTCTGACTAAAAATATACATGTTCTTTGTAAAATATATGTACATATATGAACATATAATTAGGTTTTACACTATATATTTTATGAAAATATAAAAATTGTCTATATCCAGGTACCCAATTCATATTATAAACATCATATAATCATGTACATATTATAATAATTTATAACCAAAAATCCAATCAAATGTTAACTCTCCTTTATCATTGGGATGTACATCCTTTCATATTTTAAAAATTTGTAAACGTATTTTATTTTTACAAAAATAGAGTCATGTAACACTTGCTGTTTTGTGACTTTTTTTTCAGTTAATAAATCAGGAATCATTGCTTACGGCCATATCCATAGATTTGTATGGTTTTTTCTTTCAGTGGTTTTATAGTATTCAATCACATGGTTTTGTCATAGTTTATTTACTTGATTCTCCCAGTTGCTGGATATTTAGTTTGATTTTGTCCCTTTTCTGGTGATACTATTGTTATGGAAATGCTGTGATAGTCAGTCATATGACTTTTGTTCATCCATCTCAATATTTTCTTAAACAAAATCTTTTTTTTTTTTCCCAAGTCAGAGTCTTGCTCTGTTGCCTAAGTTGGAGTGCAGTGGTGCAATCTTGGCTCACTGCAACTTCTGCTTGCCCAGGTTCAAGCAATTCTACCTCAACCTCCCGAGTAGCTGGGATTAGAGGCGGGTGTCACCACGCCCAGCTAATTTTTGTACTTTTAGTAGAGACCGGGTTTCACCATGTTGGCCAGGCTGGTTTTGAACTCCTGACCTCATGATCTGCCCCCGTCAGTCTCCCAAAGTGCTGGGATTACAGGTGTGAGCCACTGCACCTGGCTGTTCTTAAATAAATTCTTAGGGCCAGGCATGGTGGCTCTTGCCTATAATCCTAGCACTTTGGAATGTGAGGCGGGCATATTATTTGAGCCCAGGAGATCAAGACCAGCCTGGGCAACATGGGGAAATAC